CTAATCCCTCACTTGAAGCCCATCACATGGTGGGTTTCAGAGGCCGAGGAGGACTAGTAACTTTTCTCGCTGTCAAAAAGACTGCATTCCCCTCCCCCTGGCCAGGGCGCTTGGGCATGTCAGCGAGCAAGCACGTCAACGGCTGAAAGCCACATTCTGTTCCACCAGAGCTTTCTGGCCTGGTCACCCAAAGACAAAGATGATTCTCTATCGAAGACAAAGACTGACCCTTCCTTGAAGAGGATAGGGCATACCTAATAACCTCTGCTATATTCTCGTCCATGGGAACATAAAATAAAAACCAAAACAAAAAACTTTCCTTCATCTTTCTTATCAACGTGCAAGACTTAATTAAATATTTCTAAAATCTAGATCTGCTCCCACATGCCACAAGCCACTGAGGGAGAAATAACGCCAGTGCCTTTCACCTGGGTTGACATGTGCGCTAGGTGGAGAGATAGGGGTTAAAAAGCCTCCTTCAGTGCCCTCCGGGTATGGCACGGGCTTAACCTCCTGCACTCAGTCAGCATGAGAACATCAGATGAAAAACCAGAGAAAAAGAGAGTGATCCCTGGATGATTATTTCACAACAGTGATGGGACTGTATCTTGGGGAACCAGTGTTTTCACGAATACTCCACGTTATACCAAAGACGGCCCTTTCAGAGTACAATGCCACGCATTTCTAGGTGCAATGTGCAACTTTAAGAAAAACAGGACTGTAATAATACTGGGAATTATAATTTATATTTAGCAGCAATGTTACACAAGAAAGTGGGCTTAAAAGGAAGACTCATAAGCCCTCTTACCTGTATAGTAAACAACAAGGGCACAGGGTGCACTTAGAAATAGGTTGCGAAGGAAACTTGAAGAGCAAAGATAATGGATTTCATGCAGATCTAAATTTAATACCTTAAGTGTTGCCAAGGAGGCAAGAGAAAAATTGTAGCAGCAGAGTATTCAACACCTCAAATTCCATTTATTAAAAATGTTCTTGTCTTTCCCTTCCCTTACTGTAAGCTTTAAGTGTCTCAGGCTTCTCTTTTGTGTGGCGCCAACCAACGGAATGTCACTGCCCAGTGCTGAGAATGTAGCCAAGTAGAAAGAACCTCAGAAGAAAGGAGAAAACTTCCTCCCTTTTCCATTACAGCTAGAGAAGAGCAGACACTTCCTGCTTCACAAAGTTATTCCTGACAACGTGGTAAACTGGGAATAATCATGAAATGATCGATCTAAGTCTGCTCTCCAGTATGGAGACTTACAGCAAAATACAAACTCCAGTTTTCTGATGAACAAAGAAGCCTTTTAAGACATCTGTGTGATGCCTTCAGAAGATTGTGGCGAGGAGCCGTAAAATGTAACCTCTAACCTCTCGAAAAGCTGCTTTTGAACTGGCTGTTCTACTTGGTAATTTGTTGTCCTGGTCATAATATTTAAAGTAGAACCTGTGATTTTTTTTTTTATGAAGGGATAAATGTAAAATTTTCTTGCTGCATTTTTTGGTCGGCCAGAAGAACTTGATATTCTTCTCTCTTCCCTTCATACATCAAGTATACATAAATGATGTATTGCTTATTCAAAGTTGGAGAGACTTTGCCCTATTTAAACTATCACATCCAAATCCTGCTGGCAGATAGGCACAAAAGCATGAGACAAACTCATCTGCTACAGAGCAAAAGAGAGGAACTATTTTTAAAAGGATTTTTAAAAAATTAAGTGCATGTATACGTTAATTCAGAATTGTTTTTTTCCTCTAACTTCTTCCTAAATCGGAGAAGTCAGACACTTTTAACTCGGCTGGCCTCGTTACCAACGTGCTCCCCTTCGCTCCCGTGTAGAGCACATTTATTGGGCACTCTGGTGTCAGAAGAAACTGTGCTCAGCTCCTTGGCCACAGAGAGTCCTAACCCCGCTGGCTCACTCAACACATGTATTGTGATTGGCGCTCAGTAGCCTAATCTTTGTTATATCAGATAGATCATCATTCCTATTGTTGATAAATTATCATTCCCAGGATTGGCTTAGCACAAATAGGACATATCTTTTTCTTCTTCAAACACAGAGCTTCAATTCACCTAATCTTCTCAGTATATTGTAATTCTGCTTCTCCTCAGCTTTATCTGCCAACGTGTATTTAATAACAATGCAGATACACTGAAAAAAAGTCCAGTGCAACTTACTGTAGGTGGATATGACTGGACCTTCTGCTGTGAAATTTGAGTCATGTTTGAGCAATGAAATAAACAAAAACTAAAATGCAGAGCAGGCCCAAGAACCAATCCTTAATCAGTATCTTTTAAAAAATAATTTCAGCTAAGGAAAAAATCTATTCACCTTCACAACCTGCTGACTCTCAAAAGAATGACTGACGACATTTCATTTTTAAAAAGAGTTAAAAAAAAAAAGACTCCTCTGCTTGCCTTCATAGAAAGCTGTAATTTTCCTCTTGATGAAATGTTTATTATAGAAAATAAAAGCCAAAGGAAGAAATATAAATCAGGTATAATTAAAAAGGATCTTTTTCAACAAAACATTGAATGTAAGAGTGCTTTATGACCTCGCAAACCCCACACCCACGCGAAGGAGGATCAGAGTCATCTCCGATACCAGGCTGGCCTCGACCCTGGAAAAATCTTCTGAGGGTCAAGTAGGTGTCTGGGGATATCCTTATGCCCCCAACTGCAGCAGCCAGTGTAAGAAATCAAAAAGAACCATAATGCCCTCCAATCCTGCTGCCACTGGAACCCCGAGACGCCTTGAGGCCTCTGCCACCGCCCCCCGCCCCGGGGTGATACCTCCTAGTAGCCATTCCTGCCCAGGGGGGAGCCAGCTTCTCCAGAAACTCTGAAAGAAACAGCAGCCCCCTCTTCCCACTGCTGGAAGTTCAAGTCATAAACCACTTGTGCTCCTATGTCGAAGTGGAACCTGTCTTCCTATAAGTACTACTTGTCCTCTTCTGTCCTCGGGAATTACTCTGAATACATAAAATCCCTTTGCTGCGTGACACACTTTAAATATCTGAAGACAATTAGGACACATTCACTTCCTGCCCAAACCTTTCTGCAGGTTAAGGATCAAGGCTGGAGACATGCAAATTGGTGTCATTAAGCTAGCACCGACTTAACTAGTCTGGGCCATCAACCCAACTCAAACATTCATTGCACTCTTAGTGTGTGAAGCATATAAACGAACCTAGTTGCTGCCCTTTAAGGATATTTAATTCAGTAGATAGACTTAATCTTGGTTAATAAACATGTGTGCCTACTATGTATCAGGAACTTCCTACGGCTGACCTTATTCCAGATAAAAGAAAAAAGGCCCATGTCTTTTCTTGCCAGAAATATGAAAAAATGTTTTATAATATAAAATAAGCATTTCTTAAAAGCATCGACACTGTTATTAACATCAGTATTGTTGGAAATGCACTCTACCAATTAAGTAATGATAACGTTAAAAGGAATTTATCCAACGACTGTCAGATCAAAGAGTTAAGAACCCAAATAAATGATCTTCGATTGTAAGTCAAAGGATTTACTTGTTTCTCAAAAGAATTAACAATAAAAATATCTAATTTCCAAGAAAGCTGTTTGTTAGATTGATGTATTTACATGTGCTACAGTAAAAATCTGACACAAATAATTGTTCTGTACTTTACATTTTAAATATATGTAAACTAATTACTAACTATAGCACAATGCAGAGAAATAATAAAAGCTATTTTAAGGTTTTTCAGCAGTGTGTATGTAAACACATGTATATATACGTATCACAAGCCTTAAAACCTTCCAAAAATATTTCACATAAGATGAACATTTAGCCAAAAGAAATACATAAATTCAAAACACCTTTGGAGGTAAAAGTCATTTTAAATGTTGGCATCTTCTTTCTTACAATTCAATGGTAAGAAAATGCAGGAGAATTCTTGACTGTGCAAAAAAAAATTCACTTAATAAAACAATAACAATGCTCTTTAAATAAATTTCTAACTTAAAAGTCTTAAACACTGACAATTCTGGCTTTAACATTCTTACAGGTAGGTTTCTGGAAATGCGTATTAAAGTATTACAGCCTGGTAGCTTGTATTTTGTTACAAGACCGATTACTGCAACCTAAGTCACAAAGCACGATTATATTTCCTCTTAGGCCACCTCATTTTCATTATTGGAATCATACTGCTAAATATCAAAGCTTGAAATTAAACCATACAGGTCGGCATGAAAACGCAAGTTAGATAAACTGGAGTAACTCACGGTAGCCCACGGCAGGCAGCTCTGCAGCCAGGCCTGGCGCTCTGCTGCATATTTGCATTATGCTCAGTTTCATGAATCACAAGCAAATCGTTATTTAGGGTAAACTAAAGCCCACATCAGAGCTTCAGAGAAGGCTGTAAGGTAGAGTACTTACGTAAAGGGTTACCAGGACAGGAGACAACGCAACTTATCAGGGAGGGTCTCTAATGTCCACAGAGTGATAAAACGCATTTAAAAAGGCGATGTGGATTCAGACGGCCTCCTCCTCACAGCATCCCAGACAAAGCAGGGCCAGGCCCTCGGGCGCTCTTGGTGCACCTGCAATGCGGATCCCTCACCCTACAATCCCACCCCGGGGTTAGCAGCAGCCCCTGGGCTGGCCTCTCCTGCCCCATCCGATTGGTTTCGGTGCGCGGTGCGGCGGGCCCGCAGCCTGGACTGGAGCCCTGGCAGGCGCATCCCCTCCCCATCGCCGGCTGGAAAACCCTGCCGGCAGCCGGCGCGGGGGTCGCCGCGCCCCACTTTTTCCCACCCTCCCATCTCCTCTTTTTTCCCGCAAGGGGACAGCCTTTCCCACCCCCGAGCCCTGGAGATGGGACAGGAGAACCCCTTCCCCCTGCAGCAAGGGCTTTTAGAATAACCTGCCGCCCCGACAGGTGCCCGCGCCCCCCGCCGGCGCCCGCACAGCCTCCCCGCAGGCACCGCCAGGTGAGCGGGGCTGGACTCGGTCACACCTCGGGCCCCGCCTCACCTGCGGGCGCGGCCGTCGCGGTCCTTCAGGCGGCTCCCCCCCTCGGCGCGGTCCTCCAGGCGGGCGGCAGCGGGGGCCGGCGGCCCATGGGCGGGGCGGGGCGGCGGGCGGGGCTGGCTCCCGGCTCCGGCCCTACCCCGGCCCGGCCGCCGAGGGAGGTCAGTGGGCGCCGCCCGCCGAGCGCATCCCGCCGGCTCCCACCCGAGCGCTCGCCGCGGTGCACGCTGGGAGCGGGGGCCGGAGCGGCGAGGCCTGGCCGCGCTGACCGGGCGGGCGGCCGAGGCGCCGGCGCGGCGGTGGGTCTGTGTCTGCGGGCCGGGCGGGGGAGGCCGCTTGTTACTCACTTCGCAGGGCGGGGGCGACGCCCCCTCCCGCGGCTGCGGCTGGCAGGGAGCGCACCCGGGGGAAGGGAGGGTCAGCCGGCGGACGCAGGCGCACAGCTCAGGTGCGGCCGCACTGCGGTTGCCCGGGGTAACGCGGGCCCGGGCGGGGCGGGGCGGGGCGGGAGGAGCGAGGCGGGCGAGCGGGAGCGCGCGCGCGGCGGCCGTAGGGGCGGGGAAGGAGGGGGACCCGGGAGCAGCCTGGGGTGGCGGCGAGGGCGCGCGCGGGCGGCCGGCGGGGCGGGGGCAGAGGCGGGGGGAAGGGGCGCGGGCCGGGCGGCGCGCATGCGTGCGGGCCCCGCTCCCCCGGGGCTCGCCGGCCTCGTGCGTGCGCACGCGCGCTGTCCCCCGGAGGCGTCTGGGTGTGCGGAGCGCGCGCGCGCGGCTCGGAGGCGCACCTGTGAGGTGTCCCCGGAGGAGAGGGAGGGTGGGTGCGCGGAGCCCGCGGCCTGGGGCGCTTCAGCCCCTCACTTGGAGTGAGTTCTCGGGCGGCCGGGCTGCAGTCTCTTTATTTCTTTTCTGGGTCCAGGCGGGGGCGGGGGGAAGGGGAGCGGGCTCAGGGGTGGAAGGAGGATGAGTGGGTTAAAGAAAAGAAAAACAACCCATCACTTAGCAAGGGCCTGGAGCCCGGGCCGGCCCCCGGGCATCGCTGGGAAAGGTCAGAGCAGCTCCGCGCAGCCGGCGGCCTGGCGGCCACGGGGCAGGCCCGCGGAGGGCAGCCGGGGCTCGGGGCTCGGGCCTCGGCCGGCCGGCCGGCGTGGGCCCGCATTGCCGGGGAGCGGGCAGCGGGGGTCACAGATGGCGGCCGGGCGCGCGGCGAAGGATGGGCAGTGGCGGGGGCGAGGCCGGGCGGAGGCCCCGCGGGAGCCGGACTCCCGAGCCGGGCTCCATTGTTGTCGGAGCCGAGGGAAGGGGGAGCAAAACAGCTTTAGAAACCCGTGCAGCCGCGCCTTGGAGCCTTTCCAGGCGGGTCCCCGGAGAGGCGGTAATGGCCGCGCCGTGGGATCCGGGCGCCGGGTGGTGCCGCGGAGAAGCCTGGCTGCATGGGGTGATGTTGTGTTTTTCAGAGCGCCCTGCGTCCCAGCAGCGCCAGGCGAGCATCCTGCTCAGGTGATGAGGAACCCTCCGCGCACCCAGCGCAGAACGCCGCTGCCGCTGGACGCCTCCATTGTTTGACCACAACAAGGGCCGGATTCTCACCCAGGTAAACGGGGCGGCAGCGCGGTCGGGCTCCCTCTCGACTCCCACGTCCGAAGGAATCCTCTCCTCTTTCAGGACTTTCCTGCAGTTTTCTTCCTGTCCCCTGCTTCTGATTAACTCAGTAGACCCACCTCCCAGACGTCTTCCCATCTGGATTGATCTTCCCGCATCTCTCTGCCAAGTCACCTCTCATTTCCCTCAAAACTCGGCTCCTTTGTGAAACCTTCCTGGCCGAACTCTAACAACTGAATCTCTCGGAGGAGCCTGTTCGGTGCTCTTCTAGTTGATAGTTTGTTTATTGATTGTCTTGTTGCAACAAAGGAGACTAGAGATTAAAAAGAAGTTCTAAACTATGGCTTTTTTTAAAGGAACATTTTGCGATATTCAGTTTATTGTTTTAACAGAATCGAAGTGTTTTTGTTTAGTATATATTTTCTCTTCTCTTTTAGAGGGAGCCCCTACTTCCTTTATAGATGTATGGCTTTTTAGAGCAAAAAAGATGACCTTTCTGTTCAACCCAAAGTTAAATTTTTAAAGTTAATTTTAAATTAGTAAAGTAACACATTTTCTTTGTAAAAATTAAAATACCACAGAGATGGCTGAAGTCTGACTGTACCAATCCCTGTCTCCAGAGATAACAACTATTATATGTTTGGTATGTATCCTTCTAGATCTTTTGAGATAACTTTTATGTATATGTATACCGGTATTATCTTTGACTTTTAACAAGTAGTAGTGTATTCTCTCTCAGTTGTAGCATATAATGCGTTAACTCATTTTGAAGAACTGTATCATGTTCCATAGTTTGGGTATACAATAGTTTATTCAGCCATTTCCCAGATTGATGGCAATTTAAGTTGTAATTTTGTATTTAAAACAGCTTTTTTGGTGGTGGTTCTTTGGTGAAATGAAATTTTAGTGAAGGGAGCACAAATCTATACTAATTACAGATACTAGGCATTTATGATGGAAGTTCTCTTTGGTTAAGAAATTTACATGTGGGTGATTATGACTCTACTACTCTCAAGTCCTGTGACCTTGGGGAGGACAATCGATCACTCTTAAGTCTCAGTTTTCTTTTCTGTAAATGGTGGTAATCCCTGCTTTATTTACCCCACAGAGTTCAGTGATAGAATGTATGTGAAAGTGCTTTGCAGAGGGTAAAGTAGTATATAAATGTTGGTTTTATTAGCGTTTGTAGCTGAAAAGGATTTTTTATTTGCAATATAATTTATATTTTCTTTTTTGACCAGATGTGTGTATTACAAAACACTACAGATAGCCAAATTTGAATGCTTTTTAATTTTTGGTTTTGCTATAATTTTTATCAAGTACTGTTAATACGTTATACTTCTTACAGAATATCTTACGAAGCACGTTTTTCTTAGTGCTTTACATGCCTTAACGAATAAGGCATATAAATTAGTTGACTATGAATAAACTATCAGCAAATTGAACGCTACGTAAAACAAAACTCATTATAATCTTTAAGCAAAACTTACTTCCTAGTGAGGTAAATTTGTATCTGTATTTTCCTGTGGCAGCAGCAGATTCCCGTTAGCTTTTATGTCCTTCAGGTGAAATGGAATCTTACTGAATTCGTAGGCAGTATCGGAAAGAGTCTTAGCAATTTAAATATTGATTGAATGATGTGATGAGTATCCTTTTAAGATGTAAGAGATACAATTAGGAGCTTTGTAAGTATTTTTTATGAGAGAGTATAAAAAGGAGACCAAATTTCAGATTGTGGAGAGAGGCCCAGGAAAGAATTTTTTGCAGAAATTAGATTTGAGCTGCGATCTGAGGGATGAGTAGGCGTTAGTGTGGAGTGAAGTGGGGGGTGATTTTCCAGGCAGGGCAATGGCATGTGGGAAGGCCCTGAAGGGGGAAAAAGCTTTGCCCATTCCGGGAACTAAAAGAACGACTTGTGGATGGATTCTAGTGGGTGAGGGGAAGTGTGGCTAGGCAGGGGGCCAGATCATGTAGGGTCTTGTAGGGCAGGTTAAAGATGTTTGATTTTATCCTGAGTGAAATGGGAAACCATGGCAAGAGTTGGGTTTTAAGCAGGGAATGACATAATCAGATTTGCATTTTTAAACAACCACTCCAGCTGCTACACGCAGAATGTGGGGGTGATGGGGTGGAGAGTGGAAGTAGGGAGCCGAGGGAGGCCATTTCAGAGGTCTGTCTAGAAGAGTGGTGGTCTTTCTCTTGGAGTTCACATCGAATTCACACTACCAGCTAAGCTAAGGTCAAAATAGATAGTTGGTTACAAAAATAAATCCTCATTTCTCATTTTTAAAAAGTAGGAATAAAAAGGTACTTCTTAATGCAAAAAGTACGCATAATTGTTAAAGTAATTGTCCACACTATACTTTAGAGAAAACTATCAGAGTCAAGTTAAAAATTGGGATGTTATTTAATGTGGTTTTTATAAGTTTTGCCAAAGCAGTAATACATGAAATAAGAGTGAGATGAGGATCTAAAATGAAAAGAAGGGAAATAATTCTAGATGCTGTTGGCTACAAAATGAGAATAACAGAAAAACTGTTAGACTGGGAAAAAAAAAACACGAGGAGGTGACTGGCTACACAATGCATATATAAAATTCATAGTTTTCTGAATACCAAAAATAACTTGGCAGAAACTAAAATGAAAAAAGAAAAAAACAAACAAAAAACAGGGTCTGATCACAACACAACAAAAAACGTAAACCACGTGAGCACAAGCTTATGAGACAAGTGCAGTCTACACAGAGGAGACAGTAAAATAGCCTGAAAGATGTGGAAGAATTCCTGAAGGGAAAGAGAGGCCATATTCCTGGATGTGGTGGTTAAACATTATAGAGATGTCCATTTTGGGGTGAACTGGACAATAATTATGAGTAATGAGGTAGGCCAAGCCCTGTCTGATATTTAAGCATATCATAGAGCCACATTCATTGAGGCAGTGTCCTGCTGGCTTTAGAGTATCTGTGTAGGTCACTGGAACCTCTTTAGCACCCCCAAAATAGACTACTATGTATGAGAATGTAGTAAATGATAAGTCATCATGAATGCCCCCTAAACTGTAAAGGAAATATGGAAGTAAATATTTAAAATCTGGAAAAAGGAGTTCTGCGCACTGAGGTGGGTAGAGCACAGGCTTGGCAATCAGACATACCTGAACTGGAATTTTTTAAGTGAGGAAAATCATACCTACCATGCAGATAGGTTTTTTCCAGTTTACAGATGAGGAATCCTAGTACCAAGAGGTTAAGCAGTGTTCCCAGGGTCCAGGCTTCCTGTTAACTTTTGTGAGGCCCAGGGCAACAGTACCAATCAAGGCCCATTAGACTACAGGTCTAAATATTTGAAAATTATGAACAGCTAACAGACTGTTAAATAAAATATGTTTTCTCATCCTACTTGACATGCAGGTGTTGTGAGGGAAAGAAATGCAGGTCCTGGCACCTATGGGGCAGTCAAATCTGTTATTACTTAAAACCAGTGTATTAGATTACATAAAAATATGAAACTTCTTTAAGAAGAAAGGGAAAACAAAACCCTAGGATTAAAAGCCAAACCACAGAGTAGGAAAATATTTGGGATAAACGTAAGTGAAGGGTTAATACTTTGAACATGTAAAGAACTCATACAAATC